AAACGCTGGACCAACTTGGGGCACTGTAGCTTCTTGTCGTCTCTGCCTAGAATAACGCCCCACCGACGTGTCGGACTCTTACCAGTTGGTTTGTGTTTGACTGACCATGTGTATCAGTGAACAGAATGGGCTAATTATAGTCGTAACTCTTGTCGCGTGGTACGAGCGCTATCAGTTTCAACACGATCACACCTTTCCCGTGCTAATCCAGAACGCAAACAGGTTGTTCATAACTTTCGCGTCGATGAGCACGACACAGTTATCCGCGGAACAGTAGCAGATTGCTTATTGAGAGAGAATAGGGAATGCACAGCGAAAGCGAGTTTATAAGCGTAACAACTCGAATGGCCAAGAATACCGGGATAAGACAGAATGAGGCCAGCGTGCTGTACTAGTAGCAGGGGGGTTGGCGAGAGGTGAGAGCATCAAAGATAAGTCGATAAAAGCCCAGCTTTGTAATCACAATTGCTAGTGCCCCGTAATAGTGCGGAATCTGCGGATCGCGGCGGTGGTAGAGCGTGAGATTGGGGCCGTAGAAGTTGATGTGTAGGTTGAGAAAGGCGTTCGAACTTCGAAGCCAACCGATCTACCCGGTGTCCAAATGGAATGTCTGTATTATATAATCATTGTGACGGATTGTTGTCACATTGTGTCACATGCCCATTCCCGGTTGTCCGCACTCATCTCCGTTCTCGATTGTTCGCCATGTCATTCTCTTTACTTCGTACATGCGCCCCTACAGCCGGCTTTGGGCGTCGGGCAGCCTCCGGCATTGCACTTAAATATGCCACTGCCACATTCTCCGCTGCACTCGCAAAGTCTCCACAGGTCCTGACGAAGGTCCAAACCGAGCTCAACGCCATCTCGAAGTCCATTGGGGACACCCCCGAACTCAAGACTTTCGTGACCAACCCCACTCTTTCTGTCAAAGATAGAAACGCAGGCCTTTCAGGTCTTTATGCACGTGCCGAAGGTACAGGCGCGAAGAAGGAACCCGTGTCGGACATTACGAGGAATCTCTTCATCATACTCTCAGAGAACGGACGACTTGGAGAAACAACGGGGGTTATTGAGGGCTTTAACGAGTTGGTGGCGAAGCACAAGGGCGAGCTCAATGTCACGGTCACCTCGGCTGTGCCTCTTACCAAAGACGTGCTCACCCGTCTGGAAGCTACGTTGAAGCAATCCCAAACCGCTCAGCAAGCAAAGTCGCTGAAGCTGACGAATAAAGTGCGCCCCAAAGGTCTTTCCTGATTGACATGCAACTGAACATGCTTAGGTGAACCCTTCCGTTCTTGGTGGTCTGGTTGTCGACTTCGGAGAGAAGACCATCGACCTTAGCGTGTCATCACGCATCAACAAGCTCAACAGTCTTCTTCAACGTGGGTGCCAAGTTTCTTTGTTTTATGCTCTCTTTGAACTCACCCATATGTCTGCGTCCGACAGAATCCGTTTGAAGGGGATGTAGTTTGGAAATGCAATAGACACGTTTGGCACTACCAAAAATAATAACATTGTTTTATCCAATTGCTCTGATTACATAAGCATTTTTTTAACCTCGTCATGTGATTTTGTGGCGACACGGCGAGATCCAATCCAATCCAGGTCTAGTTCCAGTCGGACACGGCGCGGTAAACTGTTCCTCTTCGACCTGTTTTGTCCACGGTTGCCGCGACTTGGGTTTATACTTGATGTGTGCGTATCGCGACGCGTCGGCACCTCGATGGGAGATTTTGTCAGGTCAGTAACTCCAGCGCGAGACCCGAGTCGCCTTGTGCTGACCCTTCAGCACGTTCATAGACTCGCCATCGTCGTCTGCGCAGAACAATGAAGACTCTGAGTCTGAACGTGTGGGCAGAGCAGCCAACTATTCTCTTCCAAAGCGTAGGGCTGCTTTACCCCCCGCGGAGCGGCCTCAGAAATTTGCTCGCACCGATACATCCCGTCGTCCAGGAATGCCTTCTGTGGAATCCGGTGTTCCTTCGAGCACATTAAAAACCGTACTTGAATCTCGCCCAAGCACTGTTTCGCCTAGTGTCGTGAAGAGAGCAAAGAAAAAGGTCGTGTTGACGCGAAATCGGGAACTGATACATTCGCTACTTAAGCTGGCATCACCCAGTACCAGTATGTCCAACATTTCGTCAATGACTGGGTTTCGGTAATTTGTTGTCTCCAGGTAACGGCGTGCCGCCTAGGACACGCAATACAGGTACCCGCTCAAAAGGTTAGTCTGTTATTCCATCTCCTCTTCCACAGCAAGGTAGATACTGAGAACAATTTTTCTGTCAAGATGTTCAAGTAAAACTCCCAGGTAATCCTAGAGAGGTTATTGTTCTGTCTTCAGATGACGATACACCTGGGCATGCGAGCAATCCCATCGTTCTTGAGAGCGATGACGAGGTAGAACCCCACCCTAAAGAACGAGTTCCTGCCATCACACCGTTTTTGGATACTGCTCGGTCCACGTCCTCGCCCGATAATAGTCACCTGAGGTCTCCAACTAGCTTAGCAGGCCCACGTTCTCCGCAACGTGGGAGCTCACCTCCTATGTCTAGTGAAAGCGAGGAAAGCGTACTCGCGGTTCTCACAACGGCTCAGGGCGACAGTGTGGTAGAGGAGATGTCGCCAGTTCCGGGACAGTCTTTCAAAGCTAAAACTCCTGAACAGCCACCGCCGTCCCCACAACCGAGCATGCACTCCGTTATGCGTGTAGACTCACCCTCACCTTCCACCAGCTTGACTGTCAGAGCAAAAGTGAAAACTCAACCCAGGCCGCAGTCTCCAGGATATGATCCTAATGATGAGGGTGAACTACCATCTGGGCCACCGTTGTCCCCATCGCTGGTGGAATCCGTGCCCCAAATTGGTGGCACTTCGCACTCCCCCACAACGGCACACGTATCCGTATCTTCATCTCCCAGTCGTCGACGTGATACTCCTGCTGGCGCCCCGACAGGTTCGCCGCCTGTGCCCGTCCGTGGGACTTTGTACAGTGGTCCATTGGGGTTATGGAAGAACTTTTACAAAGCTGCAACAGATAAACCAGTATCAGCACCAGGGTCCTCTCGTGACATACTGCCACACTCGGAGGAACGGGTAAAGAAAAGGTCGGGCACATTACGAGCCGGGTCACCTAGCAAGATTGTCTCCCTAAATCACCCATCACTGTTGTGGAAAAAACCTGTAGGAACCAACCCTGCCCAATCGAGTGTTGTCAAGCTAGACCCCCCTGGATCTTCTACAAACCGCGCGACACCTCAGGATAAAAGCAAATCTTCAGTAACCGGTGAGCTTCTCGGACCTGCTATTTGATGAAGTGGCGTATCTTACTATTCTACGGCTCAGACATATGTCCTCTGTCTCAGTGTGACGAATCGATTGACCTTTCCGTTATCAAATATACCCCTGAACGCACGATGCTCGAGTTTCCACAGAAGGTCTACTACGCTCGAGATATCCCTCACTCAGTACAAGACCTCATGAACTCCATGGATGCACACTACCGGAGGTCAATCATGGCAAAGGACATGTTCGAGGCTGTCATCGTCGAGAACACTTTCGAAGACGAGCCGAATGCCCCGCATATCTCTATTGTCAATGACGTAGACGGCGACCAAGAAGAAGTGACACCTGCCTGGGAATTTCACTACAGTAATCACATATGGCACAGTGACGACGTGCCTCCCCCTGATTTGGTCAACCTTCGCGGTTGTGACTGCAAGGGTCACTGTGACCCCAAGTCTCAAACGTGTTCTTGCCTGAAGAGACAGCACGAGTATAGCGATGATATACCCGGTTTCATCTACGACGAGAAAGGTCGGCTCAAGCGACGGGGATATCCAATTTTTGAGTGCAATGACCTCTGCGGTTGCCTCGATGACTGTCGCAACAGGGTATGCCCTATGTAAATATCCTCCAGGATGTCGACGATTGACCTGGATGAAGGTTGTCCAACGTGGCCGTCAATATACTGTCAACATACGAAAGACCACTAACAAAGGATGGGGTACGTCTGTGTATCATCTTATTCTACTGTTCCTGGATATGTCATATAGGTATTTTTGCTGGGAGACAAAAGATACCAAAAGGCTCATTTATTGGTATATACGCTGGTGAGCTCCTGAGCGAAAGAGAAACCGAGGAAAGGGGCAAGTGAGTGACTTTAACTTTAAGTTGCTACAGTGCATATAGTGACTTGTCTCAGGGTATATAACAAGGTCGGAAGGACGTATTTATTCGAACTGGATTTCTACTACCTTCGCAAGAGCGCCGGTGATGACACAGACGACGAAGAATGGCAGGCAAAATATGTAATGGATGCATATCATGCTGGCAACGTAGGTTCAATTTGTCCTGCAGGATAGCAGCAGCTGACTTGGATTCAGTTCACTCGTTTTTTGGTACGTCCATGAACAATGTGGCTGCATTCTTGTATCACCGCATCTTTGAACAGAATCATAGCTGTGACCCAAATTGTGCACCGAACGCTTGCTATGTCAATGAGGGCAATATCGAAAAGCCCACCGTCGCCTTGTTCACACGTCGTGATGTCCTACCTTGGGAAGAGCTTTGTTTCTCGTACTCTGGGTATGAGTCGGATGAAGAGGTGTGTCTACCATCTCACCATATTTTATGGCTACCTTTAACTATACTATAGAATGAGCCGGAAAATAACTTGGAAGATGTACGTGCAAATAACGGCGATGCTGTTTACGCGAAATGTCTCTGTGGGGCCAAAAGGTGTACAGGGTTTATGTTTAATTGAACAAGTGATCTCGTGCAGGGGCTGCTGCGCAGAGATACTGTGGGGGTTCAGAATGGTCTGAGTAGGATAGACTGAATTGAGGTTAGGGCGGCCAACGGAGTTCACGAGGGCCGAGAAATAATCGAATAATGGCCGGCTAGAGGTCGAGAGTACGATATGACTACGGAATGTGACAAAGGCTTGCAAATGCTCGATGCCCCTCAAGTAGTGTTATTTTAGAGTACAAAATAAGTCACCTTCGATAGCTCAGTTGGAAGAGCGTGGGACTGTAATGGATGCACTGCGAAATCCCAAGGTCACTGGTTCGACCCCGGTTCGAAGGATTTTTTTTTGGCATCTAATCTGCGGAGCTACGGACCGGTGGCATTGACTTGGAGCACTGACTCGTCCTCTCTACCAGAGTTATCGGACATACTCTTCATGGCCGACGTGCAGACACCCGCGCAGGACGCCGACAGGCCTTTATTCACCTGTTTATCATGTTCGATTGCGTTTCTCACCGCAGAGGAGCAGAGTACGGTCCCTTCCATTTGTACCTCCCTTCCCACATCGAGTTGATGGTCCACAGGGGGGCACTATCGCTCAGACCATCACAGGTATAACATGAGACGCCGAGTTGCGTCGCTTCCCCCCGTCAGTGCCGCAGTTTTCAATCAGAAGGTGCTTGAGAGAAGGCAAGAGACCGCTGTGGCGGTATCGCCCAAGGGCTCGACCTGCGAAATCTGCAAGTGCGTGCCCCCTCCTTGTCCCCGTTAGTGCCAAGACGGGTTTGGTAACCGTTATCTTAGCAAAGTGTATACCACCGAAAATGCGTATCGCTCGCATATTATCTCCAGGAAGCACCGAGAGAACGAACTGAAGGCAGTCTCCCGACGAACGACAGACGACGCACGTCCCGTCGGGATCGCGACAGAAAAGGCGCCGTCTACGGCAGGCGGCACACCCCAGCCTGCTGCTATTGACACCGCTAAGCAAAAGGCACCGCCAGTTGCCCCTACATCTGGGCCCGCAAGCGCAGCAGATGACCTGGACGACGAAGGCGCCCTGACGCTGGACGAGAAGATAGCCGCCGCGCGCTCGCGACTTTCACCGACTGACTGCCTCTTCTGCGCCCAGGCTTCCTCGTCGATAGCGGACAACCTGCTGCACATGTCCGGCGAGCACTCGTTCTTCATCCCCGACGTCGAATACCTCACCGATCCGACCGGGCTGGTCACGTACCTCGGCGAGAAGATCGCGGTGGGCAACGTGTGCATCTACTGCAACGGGAAAGGGCGCGAGTTCCGGACTCTCGACGCGGTGCGGAAACACATGGTCGACAAGAGCCACTGCAAGATCGCGTACGACTCGGAGCGCGACATGCTCGAGATCTCGGACTACTACGATTTCTCGTCCTCGTACCCAGATGCCGAAGAGCGCCGCCGGCGGAAGGAAGAGCGGAGAGCGAAGCGGGCGGCCGCAGAAGCCGCAGAGGGCTGGGAGGACGTCGACGACGATGGCCAAGTCGACGAAGTGGTCGACGAACCGCCTTCCTCTTCCTCATCAGCATCGTCATCCGACGATAGCTCCGACACGGACAGCCTGCCAGAAGAAGAAGAAGAAAACCAGATCACGTACGGCGACTCGCACTTCGAGCTCGTCCTGCCCTCGGGCAACCGCATCGGCCATCGCAGCATGCGGCGCTATTACGCACAGTCCTTCTCTGGACGGGCGCCGGAGGACCCCAACTCCGGTCGCGCGATCGTGCGCCGGCTGCTCGCAGACAGGAAGCACTCGGCGCTCGTGCCGCGCAAGGGCGGATTCGGCGCGTTTGGCGCGGGTACGGAGGTCGTCAAGGCGAGGAACCGCGGCGAGGCGCGCGAGGCTGGCCGCCACGTCCGCGAGTTCCGCGACCAGAAGCGCAAGGAGGATTACAAGACGCGCGTCGCTTTCGTGCATAACCACCAGAAACACTACAGGGACCCGTTGCTCCAGGTCAGTCCCACGTATACTACTCTAGACCTTTTTTTGCTCATCTGTGCTCGTTCTCAGTGATGTCACACATTTACTGTACGATTACTGGGACTCCCTGCTCTTCTGTTGTTATATAATGCATGCGGCCTGAAAAATCTCTGTTCAGTTCTAATTTGGTCATTCATCACGAGACCACAAGCTATTGCGGAACTGTGCCAAAAGGGGGTGTCAGACACACTAGATGATGTAGGGTATACAACTACTCGGAGTGAGCACGACAGCGGAAGGACAAAAGACAATCTAGGCTGAAGGTTCCAGATAGCGAGGTCGAGGGCTGGAGGTATCGTAAAACATAAATCATGAACGGAAAATAATTATGAAGAATAAGAAACGGATCCTAAACAAGATGGGGGACTTTTTCAATATACGTAGGCTGCGGGCACGACTCCTTCATTTCCGGCACGCGTGTCGCGGGCATACCACCACCTGAGGGTCTCTATCAGCACTGCCGGTCGGGTCGTAAAGAATTTTAAGCACTTACGAATGATCGCGATCATCGAGAATCTCAAGCTCCTGGCCAATGGTCAACGGCAGCTCGCCCTCCCCTTTGCCGTCGAATGAATAGCGCGCGTGCGTAAGACGTCCGGGTCCCGCCTCCTCACTTGCTAGTGCACCCACAAACGCTTCCGATGGCGTCTCTGCCCGCAAATAGTTGCTTGCATCAGGTCCCAAGAGAGGGTCATGGCCCGTGTTTGAGGCGTCTGCGTCCGCGGTTGTCGGGTGCTCCTTCTCTGTGCCGACATTATGGAACGGACTCTGAGTCCCTAATATTGTCGTGCGCGTCGCAGCGTTGATGTGGGCGAGTAAGGACGACGGTCGATGTTGTGCCGAGTCATCGTCCTCACCGATATCCGCGGGGTCGAACTTGCTGAGGACCTCGTCACGACGGGAGAATAGCGTCCAGAAGATTCCGAGCAGAACGAGTAAGAAGACGATGCCCGCGGCGATGGCGATGGAGATCAGGATGACTACGCCAGTAGCCAGGAATTCTGTCATCGCGGGACGCGGTCAACGCTGGAGTCAAGAAAAACGAAAAACTCGATGAGGCTCACTGCGATGAGCAAAGCTAAAGTTTGCAAGTGAGTTGAAGAGACCAGACACGGTTCCGGGGTCACCAGATGAGGTCGAAGAGTCAATATAGGGGATAAAGTCTTGACCATCGAACAGGACCGATGACGCTTGTCCAAATGACGTATCAACGAGGTTTCCTGACATTAGCAACATTCTGTCGCCCTCAATCGCTCCTCGTGCCTGGTGTTCGTTCTGAAGCGGAACCATGGTAAGCTGCGAGACAACGCTGCTGCCCCCGAATGCTGAGCCCTGCGATGTCCAGACATGACCATTCCAGGTGACTAAGTAAGACGAGCTGCCATCGACGGAGCTATATCGATTGTAAATCGCCGATACTAATGATACGTTGGTAGACACGCACCGTCCTGCAGCGAAGATGCTGCTCGAGTTGCCATCATTGACCGTTATCGCGGTAACAGGACCAGGGAGGTTCGCGCCATCGCCTAGAGTGCTCCAGCTGGCGTTGTTAAACGTGAACTGTAGAACGTTGTCTGAAGACGACCCCGAAATCGTGATAGAGCCGCCAGCTACAAGTACATCTTGATTGCTCTGCCCGAAACATACGTGTCATGATCGCGCGCAATAGGCAAAAAAACACGACTCACCCCTGCGTATGCCACCGACGCGATGTCACCCTGAATGCCACTCCCGAGTGCATTCCACTGCTGTTCTCGGACGTCCCACGCACAGATCGCGCGGCACGGTAGCGAGCCGGCCTGCGCAAACGAGCCCGCAACAATGATGGTGTTCGTTTTTGCCGCTGATGCGCTGAGTGACCTCACGACAACCGATGCACCACTCGTACCCTGGAGCGCTTGTACACCAGACGAAACCCAGGAATTGTGCACGAGGTCGTAGATCGCAAAGCCTGCAACGTCCGTTCCGGTAATGGTGAACTCGCCGCCGACGAATAGCTGCGTGTCCTGTACGAGCAGTGTGCGTACTGTGCCATTGATCGTTTGGCCTTGCAACGCGGTAAGCGCACCCGTCGACGGGTTATATACGGCCAGTCCGGCAGACGAGGTATTCCCGTCTGTGAAAGTGAAGTTACCTCCTATGATTGCGACCTGCTCCGTACTTGTCGTATTGGTCCAGAAGGTGCCAGCAAGAACAGCCGGGGCAGGAGCGGGAGGTGACGCTGGAAGTGGTGCCAGAGAAGTACTGGACTGACGTTTGAAAAGCTGTCGAATTTTAACATGCCGGGAGAACCATGAACCCGCAGAACGACGGTAATTGTTGCGACGGCGTGCGTTTGTGGCCACCGATGTGGTGACGACATCAGAGTCGAGCTGCACAGTGAGAGGGGTCACCGCCGGCTGACCATTATCCCCATTCTTGAGAAGCACGAAACCACTTGCGCCATATGTGAGCGAGTTTGCAATGTTGCCCGCAATGATCTGCGACTGTTGTTGGCCCTTGGCCGGTGTCGTGCCATTTCCGATAAACGTCAGGCTGCCCACCAAGAATCCACCATTGTTAACCCATCCACGGCCGGTGACATTCCACAAGGCCAAGCCAGAGGATTCTAGCCCAGTGTTGCTACCAGGCGCATTGCGAAGAATACTGAAATTACCAGCGATTGCCAGCTGGTCGTTCTCAATCCCGAGGCTCTTGACAGGACCGTTCACCCCTGCCAACAAAGGTGACCACTGGTCATGTGCCACGTCATACGAAGCAACACCCGAGAGGCGGCCTTGTGTGGAATTCGCGGGCGTATCTGTGAACGAGCCGCCGACGAATAGTGTATCGCCATCCAAAACGAGTGACGTGACAGGCCCATTAAGTCCACGCCCAGACAGCGCCGTTAAAGCACCGTTCTTGAAGACAACAATATTACTAGTGGAAGGTGTGCCAAGGTTGAAGGTTCCGCCGATGAAGATAGCACCTGAAGGATGGTGGGCGACAGCGGCGACCGACGCCGCGGAGATGCTAGTGTTTCCGCCAAGACCATTGAACAACGAGAATCCGACAGTGTCGAGGAAGGTTTCAGTGGTATTGGGTAGCCCCGTGGCTACGCTTACGTTGGAAGAAAGCGAGAACGGCCATTCCAAAAACCCAAACGCGGACCTGCCGCCCGCTGCAGTCCCTGTGCCGTTGACTACTGTGCCCGTTGTGTTGGCAGACGTCAGGATCAACTGGACGCGATCGGCCACGAGCCGATATTTGCCGTTCTGACCATTACCGGCAGGTTTGTCGGCCAGGGTCATGGTAATTGTCGTGACGAAATCGGGGGAAGAAG